CTTTCTCAAACAAAGAAACCCTCTACCTCGTAGTTTCTCAGACAAAGAAACCCTTCCACTCCCACCTGGAGGTACCTCCCGTCTGGACTAGTCACCCCTTCCCACCACGCCCACACCAATTGTCGACCTGATCCCACAGACCAGCACTTCCTCCCCCTACCTGCCTGCGTTTTTCATGCCCACCAACCCCTATAAGCTTATGTACTCCTCCCAGCTGCCTGCCCTGCCATTTTGAGCGCAGCCCAGCAGGTTTTTCCTCCTTTAATAAAGTCTGAATGGTACCCAGCATTTTGGCTCGTTTTCTTTCAAGCACTAGTCATAACAGCCAAGGTATGGAATCAACCAAAGTGTTCATCATGGATGAATGGATTAAAAAATGTGGTATATAAATACAATGTAATATTACTGAGCCATAAAAAAATCATGCCATTTGCAACAACATGCATAAGCCTAGAAGACATACTAAATGAAACAAGTCACAGAAAGAAAAATATTGCATGATCTCATTTACATGTAAAATCTAAAAATAAAGTCGAATGCATATAAACAGAGTAAACAGTTTACTGGGGTGAAAGCGAAGGAGAATGAGGAGAGGTTGTTCAAGGGGTTAAGAAGCTGCAGTTACGTATGATGAAGAAGTCTAAAGATCTACTATACAGGATGAGAATTACTGTTACTAACATTACATCGTATACTGGAAATTTGCTAAGAGTAGATTTCAGTGCTCTTACATACATACACCCATACACACACAAAGGAAACTATGTAAGATGATGGGTATGTTAATTTGCTTAACTGTAGTAACGATTTTACTATATATATATATATATATATATATATATACATGTTTATCAAAACATCATGTTGTATACTTTAAATATATATATAATAAAAAATAAATTTAAAGAAAAATGAGGCTTTTCAAAATTCACAGCCACAAAATCAATGATTGGAAAGAAATTGCCTGTGGCTATCCATATGCAGAATGGATAATACAGAATCCACCCGGCCTCGAAGGTCTGCACTGCAGACTGGAAGGTTCTTGTCTTTCCACTGCAGGGAGAAGAGCTCCTAGAGCTAACTCTAAAGAACATGTGGGTAAACCTCGGGTCTAGGCCCTGACTCTCAGGCATCTCCAAACTCCTAAGATTCTATGGACATCTCATCAGCACCTTCTTAGAAGCATTAACCAGTTTTATAAAAGTACAAACATTTTGAAAAAAAATAAAACCTTTTAGAATAATATCTATAAATTGACAAAAATGCAAAGCATTTATTGTATGTAGAATTAAGTGACAAATACAGATAATTCAAAATTTAAAACCACCTGCAAAGCAGCACACATGGATTTACATCTATGTGTACAGACAGGTGTAAATATATACACATTCCCTGGACACAGCCATTCTACCAGATACAATTTTTCGTATCAGAATTTATGTGCCTCATCACATTTTATTTACACCACCTGATTCTTACTGATATCGGAAGCAAAGTCCCAGGTTATGCTGATCATGGGAAGGTATCATATGCAGGTCCAAACTTAGGTAATATTTCTGTCATATAAAACTTCTAAATATTTTCTCAAAAACACCGTTTTTTGACCAAGGAAAATCACGAATTATTCAGGTGACCAGAGGGAGCTAACAGATGTATGTTCTAAGGAAAGTTAAATGTGAAGACTGTAGAAATGTTGAGATGGGAGGCCCTGAGCTCCAGAGCCTGCCCCACAGTGGAAGCTCTGGGTGGAGAGCAGAGACATCTCAGGAACTGACAGGTGTGAACACGTGATCAGGCACACAGACTCATGCCTCCACCAACCCCCTCACCACCAAACCTGGGAAATCTCCCTGTGGGGGAAATTTGTCAGACAGTGGATCACTGCACAGCATGCAACTGCTTGACTCTAATTTATCCATTATTATGATTCGCTTTCCAAGTTCCCTTTTTTCACAAGTCATTTGGGGATGAAACTTACACAGAAATCCGATGAAACTTACACAGAAATCCTACAAGACCATTCATTCATTCATTCAAAAAATATTGGGCACCTGCCGAGTGCCAGACCCAGGTTAGGTACTGGGCTAGTTGTGAACACAGGAGACAAAAACCCCCACCTCTACACTTTAAGCCCTTGAACCACAGACCCATCCTAAAATCTTTCCATCCTGAGATAAGCAATGCTCTATATTTGTCATCAAAGGCAGGAACTCCTGGACTTTATCAAAACTAAACTGTTACCAGCCAGAACTGTTGACAATCATATAATAGTTTGAGCTGCAAATAAAGTCTTTGAGTTGGTTGATTTGAAAGCTGGAATCTCTCGCCTGTTTTAGCATCACAAACTTCACTCAGCACTCAAAAATTGTTGTGGGTTTTTTTGCTGCTGCTGTTGTTGTTTTTTTATCCACATTTAATACCTGACAAAGACCTGCACAGCCTGGAAATAAGAATGTTATGGTTTAAATAAGTCAATGTAAATATGACATACTACTGGGGCTGCAAAAGCAATTGTCTTCAGGGACTCCTCCGGGCTTCTGTTCCCCAGCACCACTCCTCCAAAGGTTAGGGAGCAGCGCTCTCCCAACTTCCTCATGCTTCATCGGGCATGGGAACTCGGCACGGCTGTCTCTGGTCTCTCTCAGCATCATCTTTCTTTCTGCCTTCCTATTGGGCACTTGTTCAAATTAATAAAAAGGAAAATGCTATGCTGGTTCTCATTCAACCATCATTTTTTGGCACTTTGTCAGTGTTTTTAATTAGCTAGCTGTCTCTGGTCTCTCTCGGCATCATCTTTCTTTCTGCCTTCCTATTGGGCACTTGTTCAAATTAATAAAAAGGAAACTGCTATGCTGGTTCTCATTCAACCATCATTTTTTGGCACTTTGTCAGTGTTTTTAATTAGCTAGAGCCAATGATGGGCTGATAAATGTCTAAAAACTACCTCTCCAGGAAAAAAAAACACATATATATTTATATACATCTGATTTGTATCACTTGCCAATTTCCATGGTGTAAGCGCCACCACGTGGCCTAGTTCAAGCTGCCAACATGACATCACTGAACACAGAGCTGGGAAGAACTAAATGGTAGCACACGACTATACAGTATTTCCATCATATAGATACAATAGGTGTACATATTCCCAGGAGGATAGATAACAGTAAAACATACTAAAATAATTAGAAAGTGATGAGTCGAATATTTCTTACTTTTGTTTTAACTTAATTTAATCATGTGTTTATATAATCTGATTTTTAATGATGTCTCTATTTAACAACAAGCTTGCAAAATTCCTGAAAATGTAAAAACCAGCTCTCCTGACTCAGTGCCAGTCAGCCACAGCACAGCACTGGGAGGACCCACAAGGGAGGAGGGGTGAGCACTCCTCTGCAAGCCTCACTTCCAGCATGTTTGCATGTAACACAGCTGCTGTGGTCCTGAGGACCAGGCAGCAGGCTTGGAATAACTTGACTGCCTTTCATGGGCCAATAGTCATGAACATGAAATTATCTGAAATATAAAGAGGACAAACCTGGTAGTGGCCATGCACCAAAGTGACCCCATGAATAGCAGATAAAATGAGACGCTTTATCCCGCCTTGCTTGCAACTCAGAGTGGCACACAAAATGTCCTTAGTCAAGGCAGGGTGTTCTGCAGGAGGAAACACACAGAGAAGTAATTAGTAAACAATCTCTTCCCAAACTAGCCACTCCCACAAAATCGTTTTTTAAAGATTCAAAATGATACAAATTCCTAAAGATTTCTTAAATCATCTAGATGAACACTGAGATGAGGAAAAAGCTGTGAGTTCTGAAAGTAATTAAATAGTTTTAATAGTAATTAAATTTTTTCTGGGCCTAATTGATTGTAAGGAACTTAATTTCCTTCCTCCACCTCCCCCGATGGGCCCCTCTTGCTGTATCCCCCATACGTGGGTGCCCATTTAACCCAGTTTGCCCAGAACAGTCTTGGTCCTGGGGTATTAAGGGCAGCACCTTCTTTCATCCTCAGAAGTGCCTGGGTTTAAAGGATGAATTACAAAAACTGTTTATTTGCGGTCTTCCTCATCCCCCTCCTCACAAATCACACCTGGAAGCCACCAGACTCTCCCCCACCATCCACTCTCTCCACCCACTCAGCTAGAGAGTGCCCCTGGCTCTTCATTCCGTGCCTCACCCAGCCCCCAGCAGGTCACACCCGGGATGCTGCCAGGCTCCTGCAAGGTCCTGTCCCCATCTCACCACTCAATCCACCTTCCACTCTGAGCCACAGGGCTCTTCTTCAATAGTGATCATAGGTGACATGAATCTGCCCAAAGGCTCTACGTTGCGCCCAAAGCCTGTCTGCAGCTGCCACCCCTGGGCACTCGGCACCTTCCTCAGGGTGCCACTGCTGCCCCTCCTGCACCTGCACCTGCACCTGCCTGCCTTTCAGAATCTGTGCAGGACACGCCTCCCCAGCCCAACCATGACCCTTCCGCTGCCCCACCATGTAGAGGCCCGAGTGCACCCCCTGCGAAATCTGTACTGCACCCTAAACCCGTCAGCACAAGATCTCCTGTGTGCTGCTCTCTCCCCTCGGCTGTCCTGTCACTGTGGGCACCTAGCACGTGGCTTAGTGCCTTCTAGATGCTTGGTCATTACAGAAAATAAAATGTATTTTTATGAGGAACAAAATCTTTCATTTATTTTCTCAATTAGGGGAAAAATTTAGTTCTGACTCAAAGTATTGCATTGTTTCTCAAAGTCATTCAAAAAAGTTTTGACATAGTACTTAGTGAAAGAAGCCAATCTCAACGGGCTACATACTATGTGGTTCCAATTATATGACATTCTAGAGAAGACAAAACTACAGAGACGATAAAAAGATCAGCGGTTTCCAGGGGCTGGGGGAAGGGAGGGATGGACAGTCAGAGCAGGGAGGGTGCTGGGGCAGGGAACCTCTTCTGCATGATTCCCTATGGCAGACACACAAATGCTGCCTCTGTTCAAACCCACTGAATGCACAACGCCAAGGTGAGCTCTAATGTGAACTATGAACTCCAGATGACAACAATGTGTCCATGCAGGTTAATCAGTGGTGACAAATGCCCCAGTCAGGTGAGTGATACTGGTCTTGGGGGAGGCTGTGCTTGCTGGGAGGAGGGGGGCTGTGGGAACTCTCTATACTCTGCTCACTTTCACTGTGATCCTAAAACTGCTTTAAAACATAAAGTTTATTACTTTAAAAAAAAAAAGTTTTAAACCACATCCAGCGCAGAGTATATACAATGTACCCTAAGTCATGCTTTCCAGAAGCATCCCACCTTGGTACTGCCTTGTTTTTCTTTTCTTGTTAATCTTATTTCACTGATTTTGAAGACATGTCTCTTTATTGTAGAAATGTAAAATGACTCTCTTAAGTAATGTCTTAGCAAAATGTAAAATGAAGGAAGTCAAGTGCTGTTAAACATTACAGCACTTATCTCTGAGCATAAACGGACCCTCTGCCGTGGAGAAGACGTAACAATGTGGTCAGGCATTATACCGTTCAAACTAAAAGAGCAGAGAATGCACCATGAGAAAACTGACAATATGTGGCGATAGGCAAGTGGTGAACTGTGTCGGCCCTTTCATCCTCAATGTGAAATGAGGACGTGGACTGGACAATGACCATGCCCAGTATTTCTGCAAGGTTAGGTCAGGAACAATGTGGTTATGGGAAGGAGTGCTGGGCTGGCATCTGGCCCCCATCTGCCCCGAGACTTGACACTGTCATGCAGCCCACCCTAAAAGGCACCACCTCTGTTGGGAAAATAGAATAATTTGGTCGGGGCCCTCGCCTCAGGTCCACTTGGGCGTGGTTCAACATCCTTTGTAAACAAATTGTGTGTGTGCGTGTGTGTGCGCGCGCGTGCGTGCGTGTGTGTGGAATTAGTGCGCATGCACGCCAATGTCTCTTTTTAGTTTTGTTGCTATTCTTGTGTTCTTCACAGAGAGAGGAGAGAGAGAAAGAGGAGTTTCAATGAAGTGGGCGGGTGTCGGCCTCAGGCAGCCATGCTTTCCAACCTATGGCTCCAGGGACCTTTTTGCTGGTTACCTAGCTCATAGACCTACATGTAAGGGGCCTGGGGACCCAGCC